ATATAAGTCTTCCCTCCTGTTCTAGCCCCCAACAAACAGGCAACTGCCCCTAACAGTTTCCTTTGTGAAATGTCCTCACCATCAAGGATATGTGCATATAACTCTATTCTTACAATTTTTAAAGATTTTAAGTTTAAAATTTTGATTGCTAATAAATACATTCAAACCTTTCATCAGTCTAGGCAACATAGCGAGACCTTGTCTCTACAAAAATTTAAAAAATTAGCCAGCATGGTAGTGGGCTCCTGTAGTCCCAGCTACTCAGGAATCTGAGGTGGGAGGATCACCTGGGAGGTCGAGGCTACAGTGAGCCATGACTGTGACACTGTACTCCTGCCTGGGCAAGACCATGGCTCAAAAAAATCCCAAGCAAAAAACCTTTCAATTCTCAGCTTAAAACCTAGAAATTATTTTTAAAAGGTATATATTGAAAGTTTTCTTTTTAAGCTGGGTGCAGTGGCTCACCAGTCTTCCAGCTATTTGGAAGGCTGAGATGGAAGGATCATCTGAGCCCAGCAGATCAAGGACGCAGTGGCCATGAATTGCCACTGCACTCCAGCCTGGACGACAGTGAGACTCTGACTCAAAAAATAAATACTCGGTGGCTCACCCTGTAGTCCAGTGCTTTGGGAGGCCGAGGTGAGTGGATTGCCTGAGCCCGCAGGTTTGAGACTCGCCTGGGCAACTTGGTGAGACCTCATCTCTACAATAAATCAAAAAAAGTAGCCGGGCATGGTAGCGCGCGCCTGTGGTTCCAGCTACTTGGAAGGCTGAGGTGGAAGGATCGCCGGAGCCCAGCAGGTCGAGGCTGTGGTGGCCGGGAGCAGCCACTGTACTCCAGTCTGGGTGACAGAGTGAGACTCCAACTCAAAAAAAAAACAAAACCCAAAAATAAATAAATAAGTAAAAGAAATGAGGTCTTGCCCTGTTGCCCAGACTGGAGTACAGTGATACCTTGAGTTCTTGGGCGTAAACAATCCTTCTATGTCGGCCCTGAGTAGCTGGGACTACAGGTGTGCACCACTGTGCCTGGCTAATATTTAAAAAAAAATTTGTAGCAGCCGAGCGTGGTAGCTCAAGCCTGTAATCCCAGCACTTTGCGAGGCTGAGGCAAGTGGATTGCCTGAGTCCATGGGCTCAAGACCAGCCTGGGCAACATAGTGAGACTTCATCTCTACAATAAATCAAAAAATTAACCAGGCATGGTAGCGCATGCCTGTAGTTCCAGCTACTTGGAAAGCTGAGGCAGAGGGATCATCTGAGCCTAGCAGGTCAAGGCTGCGTGGCTGTGTTGAATTGAGGCCTCACTCTGTTGCCTAGGCTGGAGTGTGTACTCCAGCCTGGGCGACAGAGTGAGACTCCAACTAAAAAAAAAAGTTTTGTAGAGATGGGAATGTCTCTATGTTTACCAGGCTCGTCTCAAATTCTTGATCTCAAGCAATCTTCCTCCCTCTGCCTCCTAAAGCGCTGGGATTATGGGTATGGTCCACTACACCTGGCCTCTTTTCTCCCTTTTTTTTAAATCCCAAAAACTATAGTACAATATCAATGTTCTGTGTCTTTTGGGTGTTTTTTCCACTTAAATTTATTGTACTTTGGCCAAGCACAGTGGCTCACGCCTGTAATCCCAGCTCTTTGGAAGGCTAAAGCATGAGGATTGCTTGAGCCCAGGAGTCTTAGACCAGTCTAGGCAATATAGCAAGACCTTGTCTCTACAAATAATTAGCCAGGCATGGTGGGGTGCACCTGTAGTCCCAGCTAATCAGGAGGCCGAGGTGGAAGGATCGCTTAATAAACTCAGGACTTCCAGGTTATGGTGAGCTGTGATTGGGCCACTGTACTCCAGCCTGGATGACAGAGTAAGACCCTAACCCAAAAACAAATCAACAAACAAATGAATGTATCGTATTTGGAGAGCATCCTCATTCTTTACTACAGCTAATCGTATTTCATTATACTACTTTACTATAATTTATTTAACTCATCTCCTATTGATGGACATTTGGGTGACTTCCAGATTTTGCTGTTACAAACAGTACTGCGGTGATTAACCTTGTATAGACATGATTAAGTGTGTTTGCAAATATATCTCCAGGATAAATTCCCAAAAGTTATTATTATGAATAATAATACTGTCTTAATTCAGAACATTCCACAGTAGGCACAATTAGTTCTAACTTACCAGGACTAAATGTCTTAACTCCTCTTCCCACTACAGGATTGGATTTCATAGATACTCTGGGACTCACACTCAAGTCAGGAAAGCTGATATGCACATCAGGAACTGCCTGATCACTAGAAGTCCTTTTTGTGCCCATGCCAAGCCCTGGGCCAGCTCTAACATGTCCTGAGCTGCCACTGTTGACCGCTTGGGACCTGTCATTCTTTCATGAGCTCCCTGGTAACCTGCTTCCCTGCAGTGACATTAAGGAGAGTGTCTGGTTTTTCCTACATTTTACATTTTCAGGGTTTTATGTCCTTGATTTTGTAAATATCAGTAATCACGTGGCCTAGTTAATGATTGTCTTAGTCTACTGTGACTGCTATAACAAAATTCCATGGACTGGTTACCTTACAGATTTTTTTTTTTTTTTTGAGTTGGAATCTTACTCAGTTGCCCAGCTGGAGTGCAGTGGCACACTCGCAGTCACCACAGTCTTTACCTGCTGGTCTCAGACAATCCTTCTGCCTCAGTCTTTCAAGTAGCTGAAACCACAGACGTGCACCACAATGTCTGGTTATGTTTTTGACCTATTATAGGGATAAGGTCTCACCAAGTTGCTCAGGCTAGTCTGAAGCCCTGGACTCAGGCAATCCTCTCGCGTCTGCCTCCCAAAGTGCTGGGATTATAGGAGTGAACCACCATGCCTGGCTGAACAACAGATATTTATTTCTCAAAGTTGTGGAGGCTAGAAGTTCAAGATCAAACTGTTGCCAATATTCGGTATCTGGTGACTAGGATGGCCTTGCTTCTGGGCCCTTCCCTCTGCAGATTTTTCTCTGTATTTTCACATGGTGGAAGGGATGAAGTATCTCTTTGGGCTCTCTTTTACAAAGGCACTTATCTGCTCATGAGGGATTGGCCCTCATGACCTAATCACCTCCCAAAGCCCCACCTCCTGATAGTAAAACCTTGGAAGTTAGAATTTCAACATGAATTTTGAGAGTAAACAAACACTCAGACAAAACAATTATATAATAAGAAAATTAGACTGGGCATGGTGACTCACGCCTATAATCCCAGCACTCTGGGAGGCTGAGGCAAGAGGATTGCCTGAGCCCAGGGGTTTGAGACCAGCCTGGAAATTAAAAAATTAGCCGGGTGTGGTAGCGCACGCCTGTAGTTCCAGCTACTTGAAAGGTTGAGGCTGAAGGATTGCCTGAACCCATCAGGTTGAGTCTTCAGTGGCCATGAGCATACCACTGCACTCCAGCCTGGGCGACTGAGTCAAAAAAAGAAAAAGAAATTTACTTTTGTCTTAGATTGAAACTCAGCTGCTCAAGTTCTGGCAGTTAGTAAAGAAATCTGTCTGGGCCAGGCACAGTGGCTTATGCCTGTAATCCCAGAAATTTGGGAGGCAGAGGCGGGAGGATTGCTTGAGCCCAGGAATTCAAGGCCAACCTGGACAACATAACAAAACCTCATCGTTACAAAAAAGTTTAAAAATTAGCCAGGTATGGTCTTACATGCCTGTAGTCTTAGCTCCTTGGGAGGCTGAAGCAGAGGGATTGCCTGAGTCCTGGAATTTGAGGCTGTGGTGAGCCATGATCATGTCACTGTCCTCCAGCCTAGGTGACAGAGTGAAACTCCACCTCAAAAATAAAGTGTGTGTGGAAAAAAAATGGTTGTGGTAAGTTGGTGAGAGGGGCATCCCTAGAACTGGGGTCTCCTGATTTCTTTCTTTCTGCTATTCTATGCTACATCCCCAAAGAAGTCTCCCTCCAACAATTTTGAAATTTTGTCTGAGATAATTTCTCAGAAAGAAATCCGTTTTTAGCCGGGCTCGGTGGCTCAGCCTGTAATCCCGCGCCTTTGGGAGGCTGAGGTGTGTGGATTGCCTGAGCCCGTGGGTTTGAGACCTGCCTGGGCAGCGAGACCTCATCTCTACAATAAATAAAAAAATCAGTTGGGTGTGGTAGCACCTGCCTGTAATTCCGGCTACTCGGAAGGCTGAGGCGGAAGGATCACCGGAGCCCAGCAGGTCGAGGCTGCGGTGGCCAGGAGCAGCCACTGCACTCCAGTCTGGGCGACAGAGTAAGACTCCAACTCAAAAAAAAAAAAAAAAAGAAATCCATTTTAATCCATTTTTCTGTCCTATGTCTAACCCATCCTACATTTCTTCTTAGATTCTCTTGCAGTGCCTCTACCAGGGGTCCTCAAACTTTTAAAACAGGGGGCCAGTTCACTGTCCCTCAGACCGTTGGAGGGGTGGGCTATAGTTTAAAAAAAAAAGGAATTTGTTCTTAGTTTTTTTTTAAAACTATAGTCCGCCCCTCCAATAGTCTGAGGGACAGTGAACTGGCCCCCTGTTTTAAAAGTTTGAGGACCTCTGCAGCTCTTGGATGTAACAATCATTAGCTAACTTTTTTTTTTTTTTTTTTTTTGAGTTGGAGTCTCACTCTCACCCAGGCTGGAGTGTAGTGGCATGATCATGGCCACCGCAGCCTTGACCTGCTGTGTTCAGGCGATCCTTCTACCCCAGCCTTCCCTGTAGCTGGAACTACAAGCACATGCCACCATGCCCAGCTAATTTTTTTGATTTATTGTAGAGATGAGGTCTTGCCAAGTTACTTAGGCTAGTCTCGAACCCATGGACTCAGGCAGTCCTCTAACCTCGGCCTCCCAAAGTGCTAGGATTAAAGGCGTGAGCCTTTTTAAAACTTTCAATTCAAATATAAAATCTAATGCCTTTGAGTATCATGTGTTCAGGAACTTAGTGCTTTATAAGTCTTAACTCTCCATCATAGCCCCTTGTGGAACAGATACTATTATTATCCCCATCTTACAGATCAGAAGCATAGAGATTACATGACATAGAGGTAGCAGTCAGTCGTCTTATATGGTACCTTCCTAGTTCCCTATGTTATGCCCAGTTGCTTGAATTATCTAGGTATATAGTCCTAAGGAAGGTAAAAAAAAAAAACAACTAAGGTTGTTTTTTCTTTTCTTTTCTTTTGAGTCAGAGTCTCACTCTGTTGCCCAGGCTGGAGTGCAGTAGCACAATCACGGCTCACTGCATCAAGGTTGTTTTTTCTTCCTCAGCTTGGGTTAGGGAGATGGTGGTAAATATCACCTCTCCTCCCCCCAAACAGGTTTGAATATTGGTTGTGCTGCTTGTATTGTGGCTGATTGGTTGTGGCTGCTTGTATTATGGCTGATTGATTGAAGTTTTCTGTCTTACCCACGTGCCGTTCGCCCCCATACAGGCTCTAATAGACTGGCCCTCTTCTAGGCTCTTAGAAAGATCTGGTACAAACTTAACTCAGGATGTGCTGAGTGGTGAATTGAAGAAGCTCTCGGATGGTCTGGAGGGCACCAAGTACAGTAATGTGATGAAACTCATCCGAGTGGCTCTCAGTGGACAGCAGGTGAGCGGGAAATGGGCTGGATGGTTTCCTGGAGCCCCTCACTTATCCTTACAACTAGCATTTACTGACAGACATTAAACTGATTTTGGAGGGTACAAAGGTGAATGAAACATAGTCATGTCCCTCGTTAAGTCCATCAATAAAACTTTATTGAGTTCCTACTATGTACAAGTACCATGCTAGGTATAGTAGTGAATAAGGCACATGTGCTCCCTGCCTCCATGGAGTTTGTGGTTTATTGGGTATAACAGACCTATCAACAACTTACCTAGTATGGGAACACCAGGCTTCTGTGACCTATCCTCATCGAGAGAAATTAAAGATCAATAAAACACAAGTTTGTACCTGGGTGTGGTGGCTCACACCTACAATCCCAGCACTTTGGGAGGCAGAGGTGAGAGGATTACCTGAACTCAGGGGTTCGAGACCAGCCTGAGCAACACGGTGAGTCTTCGTCTCTACAATAAATCAAAAAATCAGCTGGGCATGGTGGTACACACCTGTGGTTCCTACTACTTGGAAGGATGAAGTGGAGGGATCACCTGAGCCCAGCAGGTCGAGGTTACGGTGGCTGTGAGCATGACACTGCACTCCAGGCTGGGCGACAGAGTGAGATTCTGACTCAAAAAAAAAAAGGCTGGGCATGGTGGCTCACGACTATAATTCCAACACTTTGGGAGGCTGAGGTGAGAGGATTGCCTGAGCCTATGGGTTCAAGACCAGCCTGGGCAACTTGGGAGACCTCATCTCTACAATAAATCAAAAAATTAGCCAAGCATCGTGGCGCATGCCTGCAGTTCCAGCTACTTGGAAAACTGAGGAGGAAGGATCACCTGAACCCATCAGGTCAAGGCTGCAGTGACTGTGAGCTTGTCATTGCACTCCAGCTTGGGCAACAGAGTAAGACTCCCAACTCAAAGCAAACAAAAAACCCCACAAGCTCTGCTCCTTGGAATACAGGTAGCAGTGTTGGAGTGGGCCTGGGCATAACTTCCACAGATGGAGGCTGAGCATCAGTTCCTTGGGCAGGGTAAAGCACTAAGGCTGTCTTTTTTCTCTTTTTGTTTTTAGCAAGGACCTCCTGTAGCTGAGATGATGGTGTCCTTGGGACCAAAGGAAGTGCGGGAACGAATCCAGAAGGTGCTTTCCGGCTAGGGAGAGGATGTGCAGGACAGTGGAGGTGGCCCTAGGAACCTGTGCTCTGGGCAACTGCCTTCAGACGAGAGAAGAAGTAGGTCTGGCACCCATCGGGAAGCTCGCAGAAGGAAAAAAGAGTGGAAACACAACCTCTGGCTGTGGACAGTATATTCTTGGTTCCACAGCAAGGAATCAGTTGGCCAGGGAAGCCCAGCCCACCTCACCTCATTGACTATGTAAAGGAAGTCCCATGTTTGATTTTTGATACCACATTACATAGAGGAGGTTAGCAGTTACTTCACAGAAAAGTTAACATTCCAGAACAGTCCAGTGGGCAGGACTTAGGAATTAATTTGCCTGGGTTGCCATAACAAAATGCCACAGAACTAGATGCCTTAAACAAAAAAATAGATTGTTCCTGAGGCCTCTCTTCTTGCCTTGCAGACAGCTGCATTCTCACTGTGTCCTCGCATGGTCTTTCCTCCATGTACACACATCCCTCGTGTCTCTCTGTGTCCAAAGCTCCTCTTCTTAGAAGGACACTGGTCAGATTGGAGTAGGGTCCACCCTGCCAGCCTTGTTTTAACTTAATTTCCTCTGTAAAAGCCTCTTGAGATACAATTACTTTGAGGTACTGGGGGTTACTTCAACATAAGAATTTTGGGGAGTCACAGTTCAACCCCTAATAGTTTGGCAGCAGCCTGGACTCATGGATCCCAGTTCTCAAGTCCAGTGTGGATTCAGAATAGTCAAGGACAATTGATACAGCAGGACTGAACTGTACGCCAGACTTTTCTTGGGGTTGTAAAGGGAGAAGTTACTTATCTGCCAAGGGTATGCTTTATACTCTTTGTCCTTGGACCTTGGGACAGCAGCCTGTGTCTCCTTTCCCTAAAGGTCATCTCTTTTTTTTTTTTTGAGTAGGAGTCTCACTCTGTCACCCAGACTGGAGGGCAGTGGCACACTCCTGGCCACTGCAGCCTCGACCTACTGGGCTCAGGTGATCCTTCCGCCTCAGGCTTCCAAGTAGCTGGAACTACAAGCACAAGCACCATGCCTTGCTGATTTTTTGATTTACTGTAGAGATGGGGTCTTATCAAGTTGCCCAGGTTGGTTTTGAACCCATGGGCTCAGGCAGTCCTCTCACCTTGGCCTCCCAAAGTGCTGGGATTTAGGCATGAGCCACCGTACCTGGCCTGATCATCTCTTCTTGTTTTCCAGTTGGACTGGAGACCTTCACCCTGGCTATTGTGTGACTTTTTCTTCAGATCCACCTCTTTCTTGCACCATTATTTGCCAGTCATTATCTGTAGGTTTCTGAAATGAGAGGTTCTCCTTATGGTCTAAGGTGAATAGGAATAGCTCAAGTGAAAGAAGAATGATGGTGAGGTATAAAAACCCCTTCACGGCTTCTAGGCTTCCTCTGTGTGGCAGCCAGCCTCTGAGATGGCCCCCGCAGATCCCTGCCTGCTAGTATTCACACCCTTATGTGGTTCCTCCCCACATTGAAAAGACTGATTTGTGTAACCAGTAGGCTACTGAGGATATGATAGTTTGACTTCTGAGGGTAGATCATCAAATCCATCATGGCTTCCATCTTGCTCTATTGGATCCCTTATTTGGGAATCAGCTTCCAGGTCCTGAAGATAGACTCAGGCAGCCCTGTGGAAAGGTCCCTGTGATAAGAAATTGAAGCCTTCTGCCAACAGCCTGGGGAACAGTGTGAGACTTCGACTCAAAAAACAAAACAACAACAAAAAATTCACAACTCTGAGAAAGTTGGTGTTCTTCTTTTGTACATTTTAGGTAAGAAAACAGGTTCTGAAAAGTAACAGTGCTGAGATTATAGTATGAGGGGGACTAAAAAAACAAAACAAAACCGGAATTATCTTTTGGAAGGCAGGCTCCTTGTAGTACAGGCTTCCCCCACGATGTAAGTGGCCTAGGAACCCATAGGCATCAGTGTACCAGCTAACGTTGTTATAAAAGGCTGCATTGCAGAAGAAATGTCCTGAGTTGTGGCAAAAAGGTGACTGGTTCTTCCACCAGGGCAACATACCCAACCACACCGTGCTGAGTGATCAGTTTTGGAGCAAAAACGGCATGACCCCCATGCGCCACGCTCCCTGTTCACCTGATCTTGCACCGAGTGACTTTTTCTGTACGTCCCATGTTGAAAAAAGTCCTTCAAGGGAAACATTTTGCCGATGTGGAAGAGATTAAACAAAAATGGCAAAAGCATTAGAAGGCATCAAAATCGACGAGTTCAAAAACTAAATAATGAAAAAAACATCTCGATAGGTGTATTGCATTAAATGGAGCATGCTTTGAAGGTGACTGAAGTTAAAGCATGTAAGAATAAATACATCATTTTTTATAAATAAATTCTGAGTTCTTGGGGGTGTCTCCCGTCATATGAGGGAAAGCCAGGGTTTAAACTCAGACCTGTGACAATTCAGTGTCCAAATTCAACTCTTACCTACTAAGTGGCATCAGAGCTTCTGCTTCCTCCAGCCTCTGCAGTTGGAGTCTCACTGTTGCCCAGGCTGGAGCACAGTGGCACTCTCATAGCTACCACAGCCTCATCCTTCTGGGCTCAGGCAATCCTTTTGCCTCAGCTTTCCAGGTAGCTGGAACTACAGGTATGCACCACCATGCTCAGCTGATTTTTTATTTTTTTATTTTTTGAGTCGGAGTCTCACTGTGTCACCCAGGCTGGAGTGCAGTGGCATGCTCACAGCCGCCGCAGCCTCAGCCTGCTGGGCTCAGGCTATCCTTCTGTCTCAGCCTTCTAAGTAGCTGGAACCACAGGCATGTGCTACTGTGCCTGGCTAATTTTTTGATTTATTGTAGAGATAAGGTCTCACCATGTTGCTCAGGCTGGTCTTGAACCCCTGAGCTCAGGCAATCCTCTCGCCTCGCCTCCTAAAGTTCTGGGATTGCAGACTTGAGCCACTGCACCCAGCTGATTTTTTGATTTACTGTAGAGATGAAGTCTCGCCGGGTTGCCCAGGCCGCTCTTGAACCCTGGGCTCAGGCAATCCTCTCACCTGCATCTCCCAAAGTGCTATGATTACAAGCGTGAGCCACCATGCCTATCTAGCTTCTGCTTCTAAGACATTAAGAATGGTTACAAGGAGCTCTTTGGCCCATGATCAAGGAATGTGAAAAAAAAATTTTTTTGAAAGTGAGAAAGTAGGATTTATTGAGAGGACAGAAAAGCTCCCAGTGGGAGGGAACCTGAGGGTGTTCCCTGGGAATGTGAATGTTTTAACAGTGACGATCAAAATACTAAATTGGCTAGGTGTACCGTGGTAGGCTGAGGCAAGATGATTGGTTGGGATGGTATTATGTTTTTGTATATTTTAGCACAATTTTTAAAAGATTCTAAATTGGCCGGGTGCAGTGGCTCATGCCTATAATCCCAGCAATTAGGAAGGCCGAGATGCAAGAATTGCTTGAGCTAGGAGTTTTAAGACCAGTGTGGGCAACATAGTGAAACCTTGTCTCTACCAAAAATTAGCCGGGCATGGTGGTATGCACCTGTAGTCCCAACTACTTGCGAGGCTGAGGCAGAAAGACTACTAGAGCGCAGGAGGTTGAGGTTACGGTGAAACCTGCTCATGCCACTGTACTCCAGCCTGAGCAACAGAGTAAGACTGACCAAAAAAAACCCCGCTAAATTGATAAAGCTGCTGCTACTTCCTCCATGGTAATGAGCTAGCTAGAGAGCAGCTCTAGACTTGTGTCTTCTCATTGGGGGTTTTGTTCAGGACCAGGAGGGTTTTTTTGTTTTGTTTTGTTTTTTTGGTTGGAGTCTCACTCTGTCACCCAGGCTGGAGTGCAGTGGCATGCTCACAGCCACCGCAGCCTCCACCTCCTGGTTTCAGGTGATCCTTCTGCCTCAGCCTTCTAAGTAGCTGGAACCACAGGCATGCACCACCTCACCTGGGTAATTTTTTGATTGATTATGGAGCCAAGTTCTCACCTGTTGCTCAGGCTGGTCTTAAACCCCCGAGCTCAGGCAATCCTCTCACCTCTGCCTCCCAAAGTGCTGGGATTATAGGCGTGAGCCACCGAGCCCAGCTTGTTTTATGTGTGTTTTTTTTTTTGAGTTGGAGTCTCACTCTGTCACCCAGATTGGAGTGCAGTGG